AGCAACTGAGCACGAGTAAGAATATCTTGAGCATATTTCAACTGACTAATAAAGAGACCATCAGGAGTGGGTGAAGCTTCAAGACCAAGAAAGTAACTGAGAGAACCCAAATCTTTGGTAGCAAACTCAGAATGAAGCTTGCGAGTAAAGTTGTCAATAAGAGATGAGTTGTTGCCGGTAACAATAATGTCATCAACATAAAGAAGCAAATAGATAAGGTTAGATTGCTGATGAAAGACAAAAAGGGACGTGTCAGCGCGACTACAAGAAAACCCAAGTGTGAGAAGAAATGAGCTAAAACACTGAAACCAGGCACGAGGAGCTTGCTTTAAGCCATAGAGGGCTTTCTTTAATAGACAAACATGAGTGGGAAATCAAGGATCAATATACCAGGAGGTTATTCCATATGAACACGTTCAATAAGAGTTCCATTGAGAAAAGCATTCTTGACATCAAGTTGTCGAAGAGGCCATTTATTTGTGACTGCAATAGAAAGCACAACACGGACTGTGATAGCTTTGACAACCGGACTGAAAGTGTCAGTGGAGTCAAGACCAGGAACCTGAGTATAACCTTTGGCAACAAGATGAGCCTTGAAACGCTCGACGGATCCATCAGGAAAATATTTAATACAAAACACCCATTTAGAGACCACGATGTTGGTGTTGGCAGGACGAGGAACCAAAGTCCAAGTATCATTTTGTTGTAACGCTCAAATTTCTTCATCCATGGCAGCCTAGGATTCTTAGCCTCAAATTTAAATCCTTTTGGCTCAGTGGATGCAAGAAGTCCAGATGAGCCTAAAATACCAAGATTTGCTGGATGATGAGTCTTGAATATACCAGCTTTGGCTCGTGTGATCATAGGATGAGTGCCCAAAGAAGAGGAATCAACAGTAGGTTCAATAGAGGTCGAATTAGAAGTCAAGGGTGGCAAAGTGGAACCTGCAAGAGAAGTATCAACCTGCACAGACTCATCCACAAGGTCAGAACAAATATCACACGGGGATGAACTAGATCGAAGAATGTGCGGTGATGAAGTGGTAGAGGGGATGAATCAATATGATAAAGATGTGGCTCCAAGAAATTTGAAATAGGAATAGAGGAAAGAGGTTGGGTCTGGGAGCTAGGGATAGCAGGAAAGTGAGTTTTATAAAATTGAGCATGGCGGGTAATATATAGTTTAGTGGTGGCGGGATCAAGACAACGGAACCCTTTATGAGCAAGACTATAACCCAAAAAAATACAAGGAATGCTGCGGGGAGAAAGCTTGTTAGGCATATAATCACGCAAATAAGGATAAACACGACAACCAAAGGGATGAAAATTGTCATAATGTGGAGTGTAGCCATAAGGAGTTCAAAGGGTGACTTACCGCCAAGAAGTGGAGTAGGCAACCGGTTGATAATATAAGCTGCAGTGCTGAAGGCGTCAACCAAAAAACGAGAAGAATATTTATTTTCCACAAATTTTTTAAATTGAAGAAAAATATAAAAAAAAAATCAAATTTAAATTTTAAAGGGTAAAGCCAAGTGAATCGAGAATAATCATCAATAAAAATATCATAATAAAAGAAAACAATATATTTGCCTTTAATAATGAACGGTCAACTATCATTAACACGAACAATATAAATCAACCCAACCCAAAAGAAAATCATGGTTTGGGTCTACATTTACAATCCAAACAATTGGATTAGGTCTTAAAAATATTCCTATCACGACCCACGCCCACGACTTAGATCAAGATTCAAAATCTAGATTCGACACCCGATGCTCCCGACATTTCCTAAATAAAGCATGTAACTATTTTTTGGATCTTTTTTCAACATTGGATTACTCAAAATAAACCGGGTTAAACCATAGGGTTCCTATGATTAAACCACTAAAAAAGAATGTGCACCTTATTGGTATAGGTAGTGACTTTCAATTCATTTAAGTTTTTCTTAGTCATCGGATCCTCAAAATCGCTCTCATTCGAATGTGGTCTCGGTTCATTCATATACCTCTCATTTATTCAAATATCACAATCTCATCCTAACGTGCGAACATCCCTTAGTCGACTTGCTTTACATTTAAAACAATTCAATTCTAAATTGTATACATTATTATATGCAAAATATTAAACAAATCACAGCATCTCACATGTCACATTTAACCCGACATAACCTTTGGAAAAAAAAATATTAGTTAATAAAATATTCAGAAACCATATTATAATAATTATTATTATTAAAAGAGACAAAACAATTTGGACTAGATTCTAAAAAATAATTAAAGGTTTGAATTCTTTCATTATTATAATAATTATTATTATTATTATTTAAAAATGGGAATATATCCAAGTGGGAATCTTCAAATTATTTAAACATAAGGATAATAATTTATAAATACTAATTTTGCATGTTTACAAGTATTTATATGGTTATTGACTCCACGTGTCATGATTGGTTCTCTTCGAAAAAGAAAAGAATATATGGAACTAATTTAGGGTTGTTCGATAACCATGGAGTATTTTTTAGGGTCTCGGCTTGAGATCGGAAGAGTAATCGAGCAGACAAAAGCAGCTGTACGTGTAGTAATTCTCGATATAGCAATAAAGGCAAGACGTGTAGGTGGATCAACTCATCGAGTTTCCATTAAAATAAGATCCACAAAAGGAAAAATACTTTTCTTCATTTATTATTAAGGGTATCTCGAACACACCCATGTTTTATTCTCGAGCATCTTACTGGTTTATATCTAGTATGTTCATAAACTTTGAAATTATAACTTTCAATTTTCTATGGTACGTTCTCGAACATCCTATTTTACTTTTAAAATTATTATGAAGATTAAGAATATTTGACGTTTGTTACTGATGTTAATAATATGTTATGACTTGTGAATGTTTGATATTTGAATTTTATAAGATTTTAGTTATTAATATATCATGTATTATAAATAACAACCCGACCATCTCACCCAACTTGAAAATAGATGGTTGGGTTGTGAATTCTATTCGGGTTGTTCGGGTCACCAACCCAACCAACTCGAAAATTTTAAGTTGATCCAAAAGATTTCCTCAACCCAACTCGTGTACATCTCTATCTAACACTTTCTCATTTCCTTTTTTTTTTCTATCGTCTTTTAACGCTTAATCCCTTCTTACGTTCTTCAATTTCTAGAACGGCCCCCATTTTTTTCTTCTTCTTCTTCTTTAATACCATAACTTTAAATAAGCAGACGTAATTGTCTCGTTTATAAGCATCTTAGTTCTTTCTCTTCTAACTTGATTTCATAACTTGAACGTGAGGATGAACGAGCTTATTCTCGGATTGAATTAGTCAAATTATCATCAACCAAATCGAATTTAACGAAATATTGTAGTTTTTATTTAGCTTTCAAAGAGTTTTCAAAATTAAAATTATTTGATTTTAACTCACTTCAAATGATGAATGATCTTGTCCACTTTTCAAATCTGTTTAAATAATCAACTAATCATTCAAATTTATTCAACGTTCATTTAATACGTGTCACAATTTAGATCAATTATTTAATATAGAAATATTTATTAACATCTACCGATAATTATGTTATTTGTCGTGAAATTACTTTTCCAAAGAATAATACAGAAGAACAAAAAGTAAGAAAAAATCGTATCTTTTAATTAAAAAGCATAAATGACGAAATTTACATCATAATTTACGTCATAATTTACATAAATTAATGTAATAGATGATGTGGAAATTAATTATATAAATAATTTAAATGGTATTTTTTTTTAATAAATCTAAAATTCTAAAAATAATTTAACCAATAAAGAAAGGAAAAAACAATGGGTATTTCTATTTTCTATTTATTTTCCTTTATTTGTCCTTTTCGACTTTTGTCTTGGTCACCATTTTTCTTAATAAAATAATATATTTTTTTTGCATGCCCACGTGTTGTATTAAATTTTATACTATTTTTAATAGAAAAATAAAATAATATATTAAAGAGTTTTGTATTTTACTAGATATGGATTTTTGTATTTTACTTGTATTTAAACACTATTATTATTTTAAAATTTTTAAATATAAATATTCTTTATTATTATTATTTTTGGGTTGGTAGATATTGGGTTTGTTGGATGAACGACTAATTTAGGGAATCATCATAAGTTTATAATCAATAAATACTCTCTCTATTGGCATGAGGCGTTTTGGGGAAGCCCAAAGTAAAGTCATAGGAGCTTATGCTCAAAGTGGACAATATCATATCGTCATAGAGAGTCGTGTTCATCTAATATGGTATCAGAGTCATGCCCTAAACTTAGTCATGTCAATAGAATTCTCAAATGTAGAACAACGGACTCTCTTCATTGGTATGAGACATTTCGGGGAAGCTCAAGAGTTTATGCTCAAAGTACTTCAATTACGTACATACGGGTTCTTGCAGAGTCTCCAAGAGTTTATTCAAGACGGGTTCTTGCAGGACCAAACACATCTTTAATTTTATATTTATCGTACTTCAATTACGTACATACATTTAAAATAATAATTTATATTTTCTTTTAAAATAGAGATACAAAATTTAAAAATTTATTCAAGGTATTTTAGAATTAAATTTAATGGGATGGTGAGTAAGTCAACAATAGATGTTTGACTTTAATACGTGATGCATTAATTTAATTCATTAAATACGAAATTAATGCGAATAACATTTTATTATTATTTACTTATTCCACGCGAATTAAAAAATAGAATTGGTCACCTTGAAGACAAAAAATCAATATATTAATTTCTTGCACCAACAATATTATGACCTTTTAATTAAAAAAATATTTAAAAAAACATGGATTAATTTAGTGGATTTAATAAATAAAAAAGTGGGTATGTTTTATCCATATGTCTCCGTTTTTGACCAAAACGAATCGTTTTGGTCAAATAGGACAAAAATCAGCAACGGTAGGCAAAGGACCCAAAAAGAAAATAATAAATAATAATAAAAAATAAAGACTGAGTTGACTCGTTCGAGTTGGGTCATAAATACAAGCAAACTCAGTCAAAAGGTCAAAAAAGCTTCAATCTTCGAACCTTCCCCGTTCCTCCCCTCATTTATTCTCTCTATAAATTCCCCTTCGGTTTCTCTTTGCCGCCATAGCCATTACCAAACTAGAGCTTTTTTCTTTTATCTCTTGAAGATGAGAAACCATTTCTTCAAGTCTTTAACGCCTTCGCATTCTCCTGCCAGAACCACGCCGTCTCATTCCCCTGCTAGAACCACGCCGTCGCACGGCCTCTGCGAGTCTCTAATGGAGGAGAATATTGAAGTTGCAGAAACCCTAATTACGAAATGGGACTCTGCTTCTTCGTCTTATGCCGATATCACTCCTCTGTTCCAAGACGACCGCTACGAGGCTAAACAGTACCTGAAGGCTGTCAAGGATTTGCAGACGGCGATGGATTATTTCGGCACCGAGCATACGAACTCTCACCATCTTGTTCGCGCTCAGCGTCTGATGCAGACCGCGATGAAGAGGTTGCAGAGGGAGTTCCACAGGATTTTGGCGGAGAATCGGACGCATCTGGATCCGGAATCCATTTCGAATCGGTCGTCTAGGAATTCGGTTCTCACTGGTAACTCTGATTTGGAGGATGATTCTGAGGACGATTTGCGATTTGCGAACGAGAATGTTTCCGAGGAGGAGCGGATGTCGAGATCGGCCATAGCGGATTTGAAATCGATTGCGGAAGGTATGATTTCTGCTGGTTATGGAAAAGAGTGTGTGAAGATTTATACTGTCAATCGGAAATCGATTGTTGAGGAAGGACTGTATAATCTTGGAGTTGCGAAGACGAGTTATCACCATGTTCATAGGATGGAGTGGGAGGTTTTGGAAGTGAAGATCAAGAACTGGTTGAATGCTGTTAAAATTGCTGTTAAAACTTTCTTCGAAGCGGAGAAATACCTCTGCGATCGAGTTTTTTGGAGTTCCGCTTCGATTAGAGAGTCTGTTTTCTCTGAAATTACCAAAGACAGCGCTCTAACACTGTTCGGCTTCCCGGAAATGGCGGTGAAATCGAAGAAATCTCCCGAGAAAATTTTCCTGATTCTCGATCTGTACGAAGCGATCTTCAATCTCTGGCCGGATATCGAATCAATGTTCGCCTGCGAATCCACGGCCTCCGTCCGATCTCTGATCGACCATTCGCTAACGAAAATCGCGGAAAGCATCCGCTCCATGCTCGTCGATTTCGAATCTCACATCCAGAAAGACTCCTCCAGAACGCCAGTACCAGGCGGCGGAGTTCATCCACTCACTCGCTACGTGATGAACTACATCGCATTCCTCAGCGACTACAGCGGAGTCCTCCCAGGAATAGTCGCGGATTGGCCGTTGATGCTTCACTCCACATTGCCGGAATCCTTCTTCGGCGGAAACGATTCGGAAGAAAATCCTCTCGCCTTACGCTTGGCCTGGTTGATTTTAGTTCTCCTCTCGAAGCTCGACAGCAAAGCGGAGGTGTACCACGACGCGCCTCTGTCCTACATCTTCCTGGCGAACAACCTCGAGTACATCGTCGTGAAGGTACGAACCTCAAATCTGAGATCCGTTCTAGGAGACGAGTGGATCGAGAGCCACGAAGCGAAGGTGAAGCAGTACGCATCAAGCTACATACGGATGGGATGGAGCAGAGTGTTCTTATCACTGCCGGAGAATCCGATGGGGGAGATCTCGCCGGAGAGAGCAAGAAAACACTTCCACGATTTCAATATCGCATTCGAAGAAGCCTACAAGCATCAAGCGTCGTGGATCGTGACGGATTCAAAGCTGCGTGAGCACATCAAGATCACGCTGGGGAAGAAACTCGGGACGCTCTACGGTGAGTTCTACATCAACTACCGGGCGCGATTGGAGAATCTTTACGGAAATGATTCGGAGGTGAGATTTGCGCCGGATGATTTGGGGAACTACTTGTCGGATTTGCTTCACGCAGATGGGAATTCGGGAGGGAGTGTTTCTTCAATGTCGTCATTATCGTCGTCGCCGTATCACTTTCATGGTGGTCGGCGAAGTGGATGAGGCGGCAGATAAGGACAAACTTAAGAAATGATGTGTGAGGATATAATCTTCGAGACGTGTATAAAGCAAATTTATTTTAATTTAATTTTTTTAAAAAATTATTTTGTATGGATTGGATATGAACGTAATGTAAATTCCGTTTAAATCTCAAACGCATGGGGACCACCAGATTAGTATGTAGTCTCTTGTATGTAGTAGCAGTCGCTTCTTGTTAAATCTTCTTCATCTTAATCTAAACTATCATATTGTGCTTAATCTTTTATTTTGTCATATTTTAAACTGAATAACGGTATGAAATTACCGAGCTACGTTTAGATTTTCTACATACAATTAGAGACGTTCACTATTTTTATCTCGGTAAAATTCTTTGTTTATTTTTGTGGGGTTGGAGGAAGCCAAATTTACTTTATTTGGATAGAAGGTTGATGATTGTATGCTCAAACTTCATGAATTGAAAGCTTTCTTTACTAGAAGATTGGAGAGGGTTGCCTAAGACTTATGCGTTATGTAACGACTCATGCTTAAAGATTTAGAATCTAGATTTTCCATATGTTTGCCCCAGCATTTTCGTGCGTCTCCAATGATATGGTCACATTACCTATTTCTTGCTTCTTAAGAGTGGAGAGTATCCTCACAAACAAATACAAGTCCTTCCAACACGTTTTGTCCTCACTCATATACATTTCAAAAAAACTATGTATAGAACGTCCGAATTAACTATGTATTAATTCTACATATACCACTATGAAATATATGTTAGATATTAAATCACATTCACTAATTAGGAAGTGAGAAATGAATTCTTAAGAAATGGTTCATCTATAGGCTTTGAAATTACTTACGATCAAACTAACCCTTAATAAATGAAATCAATCAAGAAAATAGGCTCCACCTAACCTCCATATGATCCCATCTAGTTTAATTTTTTTGAGAGTAATAATTGTTAGAATGTTTGACCTTTTGGTTGAGATCTATATCTTAATCGTTGAGCTACGTTCATGTTCATCACTGTGATGGAAAATTCAAAGTAGCCACAACTTCCCTCTCCGTGTGAGAAATTAAACCATTTGAATATTTTGAAAATGAATACTAAAAAACAAGTGGGGTTTGAGTAGGTGATATTCATTATATCACTCAATTATGTGTTTCCTAAAAGTCTTGTGTTTTAAGAGGTATTTTTCTACACTTCCATGTTCCTACCATATGTACATGTAATGCAAAGCTAACATTTTTTTTTTTATTTAAGTTTAAAAGTTCTCTATAATCATTAAAATCTATTGTTTGCAAATATTGTTTATTTTGACTTGTTATATATTATCATCAATCTCACGTTTTAAAATACGTTTGTTATGGAAATGTCTCAACACCTTTATAAATAATATTTTATTCCCCTAGACTTGTAAAAGACACAATGATGCAAAAAAAAAGAGGAATCTTAAGTGAATAAAAGGAGACTCAACACTAGCAAGTTCGAGAGAGATCAACATAAATCAAGGCTTACCAATATGAAGTTTCACAAACGTAGTGTGTTCAACATGTGGAGTTAAAATCAGTGGAGTTAGTTCAACACTCAAATGGTGTTCAATTGTGGACAGAGGACACATGATCGTGACTGGTTAGCACACAATTGATAACCAAAAGCAAAGTCATGAAAATTTATACTCAAAGTGGACAATATCATATTATTGTGAAAGTAAGTGATTTCTAATACAATATCAAAGTCATGCCCTTAGTCATGTCAATAAAATCTTCAAGTGTCTAACAATCAAATTGTAAGTTTCAAATGTGTAATCAAAAGTAACACAAGTGTCGAACAAACCTCAATTAAAGGGAAGCTATTCAAGAGCTCCATAGGCTTGAGAGGAAGTTCTATGGTGTACTTTGTTGAATAAGAGGATTGTTGAAAAATCAATGAAAGAGAAACCCACATTGGGTGAGATGATCATAGGTTTATATGTAAGGAATACATCTTCATCTTCATTGATACCATGACTTCTAGAGAAACTAAAGATAAAACTATAAAAACTTAGGCTCAAAATAGATAATATTATACTATGGTAAAGGCCCGTGTTTCCTAACCCAAAAAAAAAAAAAAAACGAAGTAACTTTCAGATAAGCCCATCAAAGATTAGCAAAATGAAGAAAAAGAATTGATGGCTAAACAATCATATAACCAGTACAAGGATTGATCATTAAGATGATGATGGGAGTGATACAGAGTGTTCAAATTGATCAGGTTTGAGCTTACATTAATAAACAACACAGAAGACGACTCTAAAAAGCCAACAAAGTACATACAAATGGGCAAAGAACAAGTCAAAGATTTTCAGATGAACAAAAAACCCTAAGCCTTTTTTGGGGATTTTGTAGCCTTAGAGGCCTTTGATGGAGATTTAGGTTCTTTAGTGGCTGCTTTTTCACTCTTCTTAGGCAACAGAACTGGGTTTATGTTTGGAAGAACACCACCATGTGCAATCGTTACGCCGGCTAGCAATTTCCCAAGCTCTTCATCGTTTCTTATGGCCAACAATACATGCCTAGGAATTATTCTGTTCTTCTTGTTGTCTCGGGCTGCATTTCCAGCCAATTCCAACACCTAATTTGCCCCCGTTCGTGATAGATTAGAGATCAAAAGCATAGGTTTCGATGTTTATTTGAAATCTAAGATCCATATACCCAAGGATTCAATCATATTCATGCTCACCAAATCCAATAAGGAAATCAAGTTGAATTCAACATTCCAATCAATAATTATGTTCCAAGCTACAGCAAACACATGTCAAAAGCAATAATTAGTCAACCGAAGCTAAAATTCACGAGATATTTCATTTCAAATTCATCAGTTCTTTGAATTTCCTAATCTTTTACTCAAATCAAATAGTTCATAATGATCTAGCAAAATTCAACGTAACAACAGCCAATCGATGAGTTAAGAATCTAGTTCCAGAATTAAATTCGAATCCCTAACCATCCACATCCAACAGAAAGAAACACAGATCTAGAAAGCAGAAGGAGTTCAGCAAGTACCTCGGCGGCGAGATACTCAAGAACGGCTGCCAAGTAGACCGGAGCTCCGGTACCGACACGTCGAGCATACCGGCCATTCTTCAAGTACCGACCAATTCTACCGACGGGGAACTGGAGACCGGCCTTAACGGAGCGGGAAACTGGCTTCTTCTTCGGACCGCCGCCCTTTCTTCCACCTGCTCCCTTCTTTAACTTAGCGCTAGAATCCATCGGAACTTGACCCTGGTCGCCGGATAATCAAAGGCAGTTGCAAAGATTACAGGAAAACAGATTTGGATCAGTGGATATGACGATAAGAAGCTCTGAAATTGAGGTAATGTCTTTATAGAGCGGTATGAAACAACGAGCATTTGGGGATGGAGACGAACTCAGAAATGGGTGCACGTTTGACCGTACGATACAGTTCAATCGACGGGTGTCGATAGACTGTAGAGCGATCCGCGTTATTCAAAATGGACCAATTAGAGGAGAGCATATTTTTTGTTTTTCAATTTTTTTAATGTTAAAAAATGTTGGTAATATGACTTAACCATCTCATTATTGACATAAATAAAAATTATAGTATTTCTTAAAATTAAATTAGGTTGAATCTACCTTTTAAATATTTTTATTTTATTTTATAATTATTTTTTTATTATTTATTCTCCATTACTTCTACAAATAATTTGTATTTTTTAAAATATATTTGTAAATTTTAATTAAATGTTTGAAAAAAATAAATAGATTTTTTTAAAACTTTATTTAAAAAATATATATTTTTTAATTAATTTAACTCAGATAGAATTAAAACAAGTTAGATTACATAGAGATAATTTAAACTTCCACTGTGTTTTCTTTGGCTCTAGATCACCTAATTTCAGTCTTAGCTCCTTGGAGCTTCTTTGGTTCTTCGTCCTTTCATTTAAACCATTAGAGTTCCCTTATGCCAATTTGTGTTTAACTAGTGCCCTGCGAGTAGCTACCTCGTCATGGCTATGAGACTACCTGGTGTCTTACCTAGGAAGTGAGCTGCAACCCCCTAGTCCCATAGTAATCCCCCTTTTTTCGGGGAGGGCTACCTCCCCCATTCCCATCTAGCTAAATGGTCCGTTACAATGTGGGTCTCCCATTTCCCATGCTACAACGACTTTAGAGCAGACAAGTCCTGATCAGGAACCCCCTGGTCTCCCATGAAGCTAAAACATCAATCGCACACAAGTAGTCTAAGAGGTAGTTCGTTTACCGTGGTAATTTCTTATGCTCTTAGGGGAGGGTTAGGTCTCCACTTAAGAACTTGTCACTCTAACCACAAAACCCTAGTTTTATCGTTAAACTGAATCATGAAAGCTAATAGAGTGTACCCATTATTACTAGCATTATCATACAACATTCATGCAACTATAAACAGACATGCTCAACGGGGTGATATAACCATCAAGCTCCCGGAGCGCAGATTTCACAAGTTCCCTTCCTCCTTTCAGCATGAATCAAACAAATACATATAAAGCAGAAGCTTAAAACATAATTGCAACACTCAGGTAATTCTCAAAATACTTCACATAATATATTTATATTCTTAACAAATAAATTACCTACATTCAAACATAGAAAGTTCCGTGTGGTGACTTACTTGGTAGATGCGTGCTCTTACGTTAGCGTTTCAACACAAATATCTTGTCCAAAAGTACTGATTTTTCCCTAATTAGATCCTATCTCATACAAAATAGAGTTAGGATTGGATTCGAGAGGAAAATAGGAGTCGAACGGGACAAAAACGGGCTTACACACGCTAGCCACGCGCTAGAACAAGCTCACTCACAGGTTCCACATGCGAGTGCCATGTGTGCACGCTTTCGCTGCAGCCATGAGTCATCGGTTCGGTTCAAGTGGACCGTGGGTCATTGCGGTTTGTCTCGTCGCACGGGTGTCGGATCAATTGAGGAACGCGAGTCGGGTGTCGCTGCCGCGGATGTATGTCACTGGAAGACTAGAACTGCGTCGCTCCAGACGGCGTTCGACGTGTGTCTGGTGGATATTAGTGCACGCGGACCTCTTGCCAGTTGACACGTGGCGCGTCGTCGCCTTCAATATCCTCCTAGCAAAAAAACGAGGTTTTCGATTAGTTTTTTGACGTTCTTCTCATTTTTCTATCTCTTGATTTTTAATACAAATCAAAATGACTTCTTCAACAAAGTTTTAGATCATACTACAACCTACGTGCTAATATTTTTTTCTTGATTTTTACTTAATCATACGATGAGTTATGAGTGTCAGAAGGAGGTATGTTAACATCCTTACCATTCTTGGAAAGATTATCATATCTCAACATTTCGTCTGATTTTCCTTACGAAATCAACCACGAATCTTCCTAGATGAAGGTAGAAAATTTTAGCACTCCACTAAACAAAGATCTTAGATTTGAAGAGGAACGTTCGAGATCTTACCGTGCAGATTTCTCTCGGATCTTGACAGAAAATGGAACCTCAACAACATGAGTCCTCCTTTTCTTCAAGAAGAAACTTCAGCGTGTAAGTCTTGGTCGAGAATGAACTTTGATGATTGTTCTTCGATGAGAAGCATTTGCTTTCCCCTCTCAAGTTTCTTTTCTCTCAACTTTCTTCCTCACACTTTTCTCTTTTGCGGGTGCTCTTTGGAAAATCCTCAAGACTCCTATAATGGGCTGAGGGGCAGAATACCCCTTTTGCCCCTCTGACTATGACCGACTTTTTTTTTTTTTTTTTTGCTTTAAAAACTCTCCCCTCCTTAGAAACTTTCGGCCCTGAAGATTGGTATCTCTTGGAAGAGTTTAGGATAGGCTCTCCTTACATCATCTTCCTGTTCCCAAGTCACCTTCTCGTCTTGATGGTTACCCCATGTGACTTTCACCAAGGGAATAACTTTGTTGCGCAGTCGCCTAAAAATTCTATTGGGTCTTTCCTTGTAGGACAGATCTTCTCGAAGAAGAAGAGTTTCGTGTTCAATCATGTGAGTAGGATCTATGGTATACTTTCGCAGCATAGACTCATGGAACACGGTGTGAACGGTGGCGAGGTTTGGTGGTAAAGCATCCTATAAGCCACGACCCCAACTTTCTCTAAAATCTCGAAAGGGCCTATAAACCTTGGGCTTAACTTTCCCTTCTTTCTAAACCTAATCACTGCCCTCTTAAGGACTACCTTCAGGAAAACATGGTCACCCACCTTAAACTCGAGGTCCTTCTACGTAAATCTGCATAGCTCTTCTGTCTGCTCTGTGTGGTGAGAATTCTTTGCTTAATTTTCTGCATCGCTTCATTGGTGACCTAAACCAACTCTGGTCCAAGTAGTTGCTTCGTGCCTACATCTTCCCAAAATACCAGTGTTCGACTCCTACGCTCATACAATGCCTCAAAAGGGGCCATTTGGATGGTCGTTTGATAACTGTTATTGTAAGCAAATTCTATCAGAGGTAGATGTTCGTCCCAACACCCAGTGAATTCCATGACACAGGCTCGCAACATATCTTTTAAGATTTGATTCAATCTTTCGGTCTGTTCGTCTGTCTAAGGATGAAATATTGTGCTAAACCTTAGCTGAGTTCCCAATGCTTTTTGGGGGCTTTGCCAAAACTGAGAGGTGAACTGGGTGTCCCGATCTGATACTATGGACACCGGTACCCCATGCAAGCGTACTATCTCTCTGATATACAGTTGAGTCCATCGATCCACACGATATGTGAATTTGCCTGAGATGAATTGAGCCATTTTGGTAAGTCTGTCAACAACTACCCAGATTACGTTGGAGCTCTGCTTGGTCTTGGGCAAACCCGACATAAAATTCATACAAACGACTTCCCATTTCCACTTACGGACTTTCAAGGGTTGTAGCAGTCCTGCTAAGCACTGTCTCGGGGCCTTCACCTGCTGATAGATCAAGCATCGACTTATGAAATCTACTATGTTCTTCTTCATCCCTGGCCACCAATAACATCCCTTAAGATCCTTATACATTTTTGTACATCTAGGGTGGAATGTGTAAGAAGTATCATGGGCTTTCGTCATAATATCCTTCAAGATTTTCTTGTCACGGGGAACACAGACAATTTTTCCACAATAGGCCATCGTGTGAAGAGATAGAGTACCCCGTTGGTCTTTCTGTCTGTGTTTGACTCCACACTTTCCTAAGGTGTTCATCAGACTTCTGGGCGTCAATAATTCGTTTTCGCAGGGTGGGTTGCATGGTCATTTGTGTTATCTGAGTAGTACCACCTCTAATTACAACGTCGATTCCAGCCCTCTTCATCTCATCATGTATTCTTTCCTGCTTGGTGATCATCGTGGAAGTATGAACAACCTTTCTGGTCAATGCGTCCGCTACAACATTGGCCTTGCCTGGATGGTACAGGATCTCAATGTCATAATCCTTTACTAGTTCCAACCATCTCCTTTGTCTCATATTAAGCTCCTTCTACATAAATAGGTACTTGAGGCTCTTGTGATCAGTGAATACTTGGATATTCTCTCCATACAGATAATGTCGCCATGTTTTCAGCGCGAACACTACTCTCCTAACTCAAGGTCATGAGTGGGATAGTTTCGTTCATATTCCTTCAATTGTCTAGAAGCGTAAGCTATTACCTTACCCTTTTGCATGAACACGCACCCTAGACCTTTTCTTGATGCGTCGTTATACACTACTAGATTCCCTGATCCATTTGAAACTGTGAGGACTGGTGCTGTCACCAACCTCTCCTTGAGTCCCTAGAAACTTTGTTCACAAGCTGATGTCCACACAAAGGGCTTCCCTTCTTGGTTAACTGTGTTAGCATCGAAGATATTTTGGAGAAATCTTGGACAAACCTTCTGTAATATCCAGCTAGTCCCAGAAAACTCTATACTTCAATGACTATAGTCGACCTTGGCCACTTCATCACTGCCACTATCTTAGTTGGGTCCATTCCTCTACTTGACACCACATGACCCAAAAACGCTACCTCAGATAGCCAAAACTTGCACTTGGAAAACTTAGCGTACAGTCGCTAGGTTCTCAGTACGATCAAAACTTTCCTCAAATACTCTTCGTGCTTTGCCTCTGACTTAGAGTACACCAGAATGTCGTCAATAAACACTATAACAAAAGTGTCTAAGAGTTCCTTAAACACTCTGTTTATTAGTTCTATGAAGATAGTTGGTGCATTGGTAAGACTAAAGGACATGACGAGAAACTCGTAATGTCCATAACGACTTCTGAAGGCCATTTTGGGTAAATATTATTCTCTTATTCTCAATTGATGATACACTGACCACAAGTCAATTTTGGAGAATACCGTTGCTCCATGTAATTGATCAAATAAGTCGTCGATTCTCGGGAGGGGGCACGTATTCTCTATGGTGGCCTTGTTCAGCTCTCTATAGTCTATACACAGGTGTAGGGATCCATCATTCTTCTTGACAAA